AGGACTCAGCGGATGCCTGTGCAGGGAGCTGTCAGCAGGATCATTCAGGGAACAGGGAACGTGGAAAGCTCTTCCCCTCTACCCTGAGCTCAGCTACAAGTGTCTGAAGAAATTACTTTGAACCAGTTTCATGCAATTTAAGAGTGAGTTTTGCACTGCTGGAACCCACTGAGTCCCTGATAAACAGCCCCGGGGTGTGTTATCCTCTGACAACAGCTGCTTTAGCTTACAACTCATATTGTATACCCGGTATCCAACTAGGGTAGCAGCAAGGAGTCACATGGTGCCATTCAACACACACTTTGAAGCGCTTGCTGGACAGAGCAAGGGGAAACGGGAGATTCAAATCTTACCAAGAACAAGTTAGCTCCAAAAGGGTGCACGAGGAGAAACAAGCAGCTTTTCACAGCTTGAACTAACCCTAAAGAATGCAATTGTCATTTGACAGGATTCCGTTTCAGCTGGTCACGCATCTAGAGGGAAGCTGGTATCTCTTACAGGAACGTGGGGTGAAAGGGAGGCAACCAGAACCTACTGTATGATTGTTTTCCGGTTACTTTCCAGGCAGCTTCTGAGCTCTTCCAGAATTTTGCAGCACTTGGCAATGTCAGGAGCGTCCCCATCAGGAATAGGATAGTGGTGCACACAGATCCCATGCTGTTGGTAGGTGTCTATAAGGTTTGGTACTCGGTATTTTAAGAGCTCTCCTCTGGTACAAAGCACAAATATATCCTGGGTCCCATAGTTCTTTAGTTCTTCTGCCAACAGATTAAGACACTTGCAAATAAACAAAAGCTTATCAAGCTTAAGGATAAACAGATAAGCTACTTGGTACTGATTCTCTTGTTTAATCTTTGAGGTTAAGACAATAGAGTTAGCAATTTTGCTTTGAGCAGCATTTACTTCTACTGAGTCTCTCCCACGTTTGCCTTCAGGTAACCCACGAGAGGAAATTTGCTCAGTTCAGAGTGAGTCTCCAGACAAGCCTCACTAGAAAGCGTGTCAGCACTCAGCACGGTCTGTTAACTGCTGCCAGCTTAAGCACGATTCTGTCCCACCTCCAGCTGTGACTATGTCCAAACACTGTGGGTTTTTGCTATTAGTCTCTGCTCTACTACTGTTTACAGATGAATACTAGGCACAAATCTTTACATGATTCATCTTTTCTATCCCAATCTCACTTCTCTCTGGGAAAAGGAGATTACAAGTTTTGTAATTCTTCTTGGTCCTAGCTGCTCTGAAGATGCCTTCTCCTGCACGGCACTTAGCAGAGCTCATAGTTACTGTGAAAGACATGCAGATGCCTGTATAGCTCCAGCCTGGAAACACCCTAACTACTTATTCAATATTTAGTAGAGAAGCCACAGAGAAAGTGGCACTGCACACTTGAAAGGGATATCTAGCACTCATAACGGCGACTGTGCTAGGATATTTGCTGCATCTCCAAGCACAGTGTTACCAAAACTCAGATGGACATCGCTGTCAGACATACCCCCAGCAAGACTTCGTAAAGAATTGCTATGCATTCATAGAATCATACAATCATTAAGGTTGGAAAAGACCTCTAAGATCATCGAGTCCAACCGTCAACCCAACACTACCATGCCCACTGAACCACGTCCCTAAGCACCGCATCTACACATCTTTTAAACACTTCCAGGGATGGGGACTCAACCGCTTCCCTGGGCAGCCTGTTCCAATGTTTAACCACTCTTTCAGGAAAGGAATTTAACCTTCTAACATCATGGCACGTTAGACAGACAACTACAGCACCCATTATAGAAGTATGAATAAACCGCCACCACCTCTCAAAGTCAAGCCATGTTTCAGATACCCGGCGTCTGGATCTTTTTGCCCAAACTAGAAAAACAGCAACTCCAGCAGCCTCCAGACTAAGGCAAGGTAAACCTCTAGCCCCTTTGTAACTTACGCTTTCGGTTTACCTGCACATTGTTCTTGCCCATTATGTGGAAGAGAGAGGCACTTATACACTGGCCAGAAGACTCACCTATATCTTTCTGAAGGTTTCTTCTAACATCCTTAAACCTGCAACCTAAAACAAATGATGAATGACAATTACCACTCCAGGTAAGTGACATTTATGGAATGGCTGCTACAGCTGAAGAATAGAGTGCAGACAACCTCCCACCAAAACCAAAGCAAACAAAGCCACACCCCAAATAAAACACAGTTCTTATTTTTGCAAATAGATCACTAGCGCAGAAGACAGTTTAAACATCATTATCTGCTTAATACTGTAATGTAATAGGATTTAAAAAAAAAACTGCCCAAGGTTTTAAGCTGCTATGCATTTTCCAGGTGAAAAGATTTGGATGTTGTGAATTAGGGTACAGCTTAAAAAAAAAACCCAAAAAACACACAAAACCCACAAAACAAAAAAAAAAACCCAACAAATAAAAGAGCTGGATAGAGATCACTTAAGAGCTGTCTGGTTGACTGGTAGGAAAGCAAGTTCCCTGTTCTGTAATACTCAGCACAAATCATCTTAAAAATCCTCCTTACTATTCAATCTTCAGCATATCGCCACTTCCATTTTTTCCTCATATCATGCTACCAAGGCATTTTTTTCAACCCCTACAGAATACCGCACTGCAATATCCACAGCTATTGTTTGGTTTGTGGGATGTAATCGCCCAAAATATTTGCACTGCGTCCTCCCTCTGTCTCCCCTCCTTCACTCGCAGCCCCATAGGCACGCCATCTTTATGGCTGCCCTGACAACAGTCAGGATTGTGCATCTCCTGAAACACCTTCTGAAAGCATGACAGCGGAATCCTGCACCCCGAGAGCTGTACCAGCAGGGCTATGACTGGAGGTTAGCATCTGAAGATTAAACAGCTATTACATGAACAGCTCAGGTAGCTAAAAAACATAATGCAGCTATTTTTTGGCATACGTATGTTAACTGGCATTCAAGTGTTTGTGGGATTTTCATCAGCACTGGCCATCATCCACTTCAAGATAGATACCTTAAATTCAAATATTATTCAACACTTGTTTTCTAGTTCTTTAGTGTGGTATTAGTCCCAAGCTTATATTTCTCAGAGTTGGCTGATGAAAGTCGAGTAACTCCTTTAAACGAAGTAGGGAAAGTTCATATTGTCACCACCAGCAGTTCTATCTCTTTTGTGACCACAGGAGATTCACCATGGCTGCGGTTTTGGTAGTTAAAAATACAGTGAAAGCTTATATGTTTATTTTTATATCATGGCCATGGTAGTGCAACCCAGACGCTAAGGGAGAGCGGTACAGAACTGTCAGCACAGCGAGTGAGTGTACTTTGAGCCCAATATGTCTGATAAAGGAATTATTTGTCAAAGCAGACGTTTCACTGCTGTTGCTTGTTATAAATAGTAAGCCAGGCTAAAAAGCCAAATATTTTAACTGACAATGGAAGATGGCCACTATTCTCTTACCACTCCGCCAGATGATCTTGCATTAAGATATTCTCTAGATTAGCTTTGGTATTTCCGAAATAATTATTCCAGTGGTAGATTACAAAAGAAGTCACCCCACCAAGTAAATGGAACACAGAATTTTGGGGTACAAGATATTACCTCTCTTCAGGTTCAAACATGCCTGCAAATTTCAGTGAATGCTTCTTACCTGGAAGGGAACATAATCCCAGGAACTCAGAAGAGTAGACAGGAGACAAAGACAACCTATCGGAAATTAAAAAATAAAATAAAAATATCAGAACATTTTGATTATTTGAATAGACATAACTCACTACTAAACATTCCTTCTCTGTGGAACCACGAGAAGAGTTACCTACCTGTACTTCAATTTTAAGAATAAAATGGAAGTATTCCAGTGTTATTTCTACAAAATCAGACAAGGGAATCACACGTTTGGTAGCATACTTCATCACATACCCCTGCCCAAGAGGAGGAGAGAAAGCATTGCCAAATCCCCGCCTTAGCACCGAGACACTCGCGTTAGCACGACCGACAGTGACCGGCAGACGCTTCCAAAAGCGGACCTGGCCCCGCATCCACTGACAGTTCACCAGCACCAACTTAATCCCTTTTCAGGGGCGCCGTCAGGCCAACCACAACCTCAACCACACAACCACAACCCCTACAGAATACCGCACTGCAATATCCACAGCTATTGTTCGGTTTGTGGGATGTAATCGCCCAAAATATTTGCACTGCGTCCTCCCTCTGTCTCCCCTCCTTCACTCGCAGCCCCATAGGCACACCATCTTTATGGCTGCCCTGACAACAGTCAGGATTGTGCATCTCCTGAAACACCTTCTGAAGGGGTGCAGGATTCCGCTGTCACGCTGAGAGCTGTACCAGCAGGGCCACGGCAGGTCACCAGAGCCCAGCACGGGATTCCTTCAGGAAAAAGCCTCCCGTTTTGCTGGAGCGGGATTTAATGCAAACGCCCGCGTCGTTTCTGAGGGAAAAAGACACCCGCGCCCGCCCCGGGACGCGTCTCACCAGGAGATGGGGAGCGGCCTCAGGTCCTCCTCAGCGGCGTCTTCGTCAGAGGAGTCAAAGTCGCCCGCTTGCATCGCGCAGGGCTGCGGCGGGAGAAAAGCGAGGAACTCACCGGGGGGCCGGAGCCCGCCCTGCGCCCTCGGCTGAGGCGGCCCC